TCCTCCATGCCCTCTGGATCTAGGTTCCCTCTTGAAAGCTTGTAAGCCAGTCACTTCTTGCTTTTGAAGCCGCCCCCCGCCCCCCCCCATTTTGGGATGGCCTGTGACCAAGTTGTAGGGGCTAGATTTTGAGAAGTCAGTCACCAGGCCTTTCTTCCAAGGTACCTCTGGGTGGACTCAAACCTTCAAGCCAGGGACAGGAGCAGTATGAATAGTTGTTCTTTATGGGGCATGTACCGAGTGCCAAGCACTGTGCCGAGTGCTTTTGATTCTTATTGTATCCCACAATGTCTGTGAAGTTAGAGGAAACCGAGGAGCTGAGGGTGAAGGGACTCACACAAGCTTTCTGCTAGTACATGGCGGACCTGGCTCTGACCATGCGCTTGCCGTTCTGAAGGAGTTTGGGAAGAACATTGTGAGGAGAACCAGGAGTGGTTTGGAAGATGGGCCGAGAGGTCCCTGAGTGGTTGACTTTGTCCCCATCTGTCCCTGTGCAGCTCCAGCGGGTGCTCTGCCCGCTCCCCACCCTCGGGCTCACAGGGTCTGCTGGAGGAGATGCTGGCTGCCCACAGCTCCAAGGCAGTGGCCCACAGGGAGTCTGTGGTCTCCAGCCTCAGTCGCCTGTCGCAGGAGGAAGGAGCTGTAGCTGTCGCTGACCCAGAGGAACCCCTGGAGCCTGGCAGGGACTCTCTGCCCTCCTGGAGGCCCCAGCCTGATGGTGAGGCCAGCCGGACAGAAGAGGTGGACGGTGGCTGGGGCCCCTCAGGGGCCAGTCGGGGTGAGCAGGGACTGGCCCGGACTCCTCGGAGGCCCCCCCAGTGCCCGCCTCCCAGCTCCCTAAGTGAGGACTTCTCCTTCATTGAGGTCAGTGGATGTGGGGGACAAGCCCAGGGCTGTGGGGGGGCTCCTGTGGAGGATGGATCCAGAAGTTAGCTTCTGGAGCTGTGAAGAGGGAGGTAGGGAGCAGATGTGTGGATTGTGGGTGCTTTGTGGACTCAGATGCTCAGACCTGGGGAGGGGTTAGGGGCATTTGCTTGACTGGTCAGTGATGGCATTACTGTGTTCTTGAGCAGGACACGGAGATCCTTGACAGTGCCATGTATCGGAGCCGTGCCAGCCTGGGGCGCAAGCGTGGGCACCGGGCCCCAGCCATCCGACCTGGTGGCACCCTGGGTCTGTCAGATGCAGCGGATTCAGATGCACGCCTGTTCCAGGACTCCACAGGTGGGGCCTGTATCTAGCCTGGTCCCTGGGTGATGCGCACAGTTCAGTGGTGGCACTTAACCAACCACAGGGTCCTGGGAAGAAAGGCCTAGAGAGCTCCTGCAAGGACCCAGCCGTGAACCGCCCAGAGCAGGTCTGCTCTGCAGGTGGGGGGTACTGGCAGTGGGTTGTGTATTTTGGTATCAGTGTTGGGGCGCACTAGGCCTGGCTTGTACAGGGCTGAGGGGTTCTGTGGGCTCTGCCTCATGCTGCCTCCCTGGACCCTTGCAGAGCCACGGGCTTCCCGGGTGCCATCATCTGACGAGGAAGTGGTGGAGGAGCCTCAGAGCCGCCGCACACGGATGTCCTTGGGCACCAGGGGGCTGAAGGTCAACCTCTTTCCTGCCCTGAGCCCATCGGCCCTGAAGGTACCTTCTGGTGGTTCAGCAGCGGGTCCCCCTGCACCTAACCTTCCTTCTCTCTGTCCCCTCTAGCCCATTTCCTCTTCTCAGCGGGTGCTCCGGAGTTCTCTTTGTGGCTTTCTGGGCCCGTGTCCTGTGAATACTCTTCTCCTCCAGCATAGTGATTAGCTCTGCTGAAAGGGGGTTTAGCTGTTTCTGGAGAGGTACAGACTAGGGCCTGTTTAGAGAGAGGTTATTTCGTAAGAGGGTGGCACATGGGAAAGGCCTCATGGAAGCATTTCATGTTGACTTTTGAGACTTGCATAGGAGTTTCCACAAACAGTTGAGTGCTGGCCTGCTAACTCAGAGCTTGGTGATTCAGCTCTCTCCAGGAGTGCCTTGGAAGAAAAGCCTGCCAGTCTGCTTTGGAAAATGAGCAATTGAAGACCCTGTTTGTTGTTGTGAATTGTCCGTCGAGTCATTTCTGACTCCTATTGGCCCTGCATAGGGTTTCAAGGAGCAGCTGATGAGTTTACACTGCCGACCTTGTGGTTCAAACAGACCTTGCAATCCAGTGCAGAAGCACTGCGCCACACCAGGACTCTGTAAAACCCTGTGGAATGATGCAAATCAAAACAACAGTGACACCATTTAATTCCCACTAGGGTGTCCAGGTGTGGCGCTGTGGGCTAATGCGCTGGACTGCAAAGCCCTCTGAACCGCAAGGTCAGTGGTTCAAGCTCAGCAGCTGCTCCTCGGAACCCTATACAGGGTCGCTATGGGTCAGAACCAACTTGATGGCACTTCACAACAACAGGATATCTAAGGATTTAAAATATTTTCCCCGTCCCGAAGAAACCCCAGAAGATACCAAATGTTGGCGCAGACGCGGGGAAATTGTAACCCTTATCCGTTGCTTCTGGGAGTGCAAAACGGCACCGCCACTGTGGAAAGCAGTATGGAAGTGCCTCAGAAATCCAAAGATAGTACTGCTGTCAGAGGCAGCCATTCCAAGAGAGACGTGTGTGTACCAGTGTTGATTGCAGGGTTAGTCACAGTGTCCCTCACCAAAGGAAGGGATAAACTAAATGTGGTTCATACATACTCAGGCCAGTAGAAGTGAAGTGTTGATGAGTGTTACAGTATGAATGGAGCTTGAAGACATTACACTGAGTGAAATAAGCCAATCACTTAGATAAAAAGATGTTGTTAAGTGTCATCACGTTGGTTCCAACTCGTAGCGACCCTGTAAAGGGTTTCTGAGGAGCCGCTGGTGAGCCTGAACTGACTTGACTAACCGACTTTGCGATCCAGTGCATTACCTAAGAAAAGGCAAAAATTACAGAAACGAAAATTTATTGGTGGTTACTCGAGGTGGGAGGGAGGAAGAAGAAGGGGAGGTTGGCAGTGATGGAGAAATCTCGCTGATTAAGGGTAGGGCGGGTCCACGGCTAACTATTGTCATTGCTGTCAATGTTGTACACCTGTAAAAAGTTGAATTGGCAAAAGTTGTGTGGTAGATAAATGAGGTGGCTTCCAAAACGTTGTGGAAAAGTGGAATTCGAAGACAGTGGGAGTTTTCCACAAATTGTTTGAAGCCCCCTCATATATTTACAACAGTGACAGAAAGGAAACAGTAGCTGCGGAGGCTGCCTTTGTACAGTCAGAAACCTCACGGGATTTGGTTCCTTGGTTTGGCGGTTTAGGGTCATGGTTTCAATGGACTGTCCTAGTAAATTGGTCTAAGAATGTGTTTAGTACTTTTGTTTTACCGCCCAGTTCATTTAGTAGTGCTTGGGGTCGTACAAGTTTTAAGCTTTACTGGTCTCTAGTTACCTAGATAGAGAAACCGGAAGTTAGGAAAGTCAGGAGGAGGAGGAGGAGATGGACTGTGAGGCTAACTGCCTCGTTGAACAGCTGCTTCCTTCGCCATGAGACCAGAATTGATTGGTGCTCAGCTACCATGACTGAACATTTTGATCAAAGTTTCCATAGGGAAAACCTGATCCAAAGGGAGAAAATTCAGAACAGATTTCAAGTTCTTGTGGACTAGACTCTCTGGATCCATACAGGGTGGATGAACCCCTGAAGCTATCTCCTGAGATAGTCTTGAAAGCTGAAACCACAGATAGCCCCTGCAATCATCTTAGAACCCTACAGTAGCTTAGCTTAAGTGGGAAAAAAGGACTTGAGCATTATGGTGGACTCACACTGACTGGAAAGATGAGCCTGGAGCCTTAGGGGCGGTGCTTTTATGTTGATGGGGGAGGAAGTCCTCAGCAAAGGAGGGTGAGAATGGTTGTACAACTTGATGACTATTGTCAATGTCGCTGTAGTGTACATGCGGAAACTTACATTGGTGCATGTTTTGCTAGGTGTAGTCCCAACAACAAAATAAAATGTTCCTACATTTTGTGGAAGACAGTTTTGTCACGCACACACAGGTTCGCTGTGAGTTGGCTTGGACTCAAGGATAACTTTGAGTTTGTAGTTGAATGGGGGTTGGGGAGGCACTCTAGGCAGAGTGACTAGAAGGAGCAACAAGGGCACCTGGGTGCGAAGTCACCACTGGCTTTGTCCAGTCCAATTTGTTAGAATTCACTGTAGCCATGTCTTCCTGAAGGTCTCCTGCAAGGCTTGGCTCCCCGGAGCCAGTGCTGACCTTGTCTTTAAGTGACTGTCCAGGGCCTGATTGAAGTGGGAGAGGGGAGGCATGCATGCTTTTGGGAGAGTCTAGTCCCCTGCAAATGCTCCTGGCTGCCCAGGCTTTAATCTCTCAATGTGGTCTTGCCTCACAGGCTAAACTGCGCCCCCGGAACCGCTCAGCTGAGGAGGGGGAGCCAGTAGAGAGCAAGTCGACCCAGAAGGAATCAGCGGTCCAGCGCTCCAAGTCCTGCAAGGTCCCGGGACTGGGGAAGCCCCTGTCATTACCTCCCAAGCCAGAGAAATCCTCAGGGTAGGTAGTGTAAGCTCTGGGTGTGAGCTGACCCCACTGTAGTTATGTTAGCCAGACAAGGGAAACTCCATGCACGGTGTGTGGTCACCTGCAGAAAGCAATTTGGCCTATGTTCTTGATTCTTTTGAACTGGATCAACACCCAAGGCCTAGTGAGTGAAGACTGAGCAGACTAACAGAGACCACGTTTGGGGTCTGATGTTGACTAAAGCCTGGGGGCACAGTGTGCTCTGTCATAGCCGGTGTGGGGAGGCTAGTAAGAGACTTGAACCCTGAGGCTCAGCTCAGCTTCCTGGTTGTGAACATGTACGACAGAGGCCAGAGGGTAGCATGCCCCTCATTGGCACACGCAAACTGTGCTGGGGCCCTTCCCAGGCCTGCTGGGTCTCTTCATTTGTATCTTTTTTGGTTTTAATAAACCTATAGCTGTACACTCTGTAAATTCTGTGAGTTGTTCCAGTGAACGCACAGGGGTGTTGAGAGCCAGTAGGAGCTGGCGTCTGCCTGGTTGGCTATCTGAAAGAAGGTATTCTTACTTGGAAGCTCTGGCTAGGGTCAGAGAAGGGAGCGCCATGTGGGCAGCTGGCATCCCTACGTTTTGGCGATCAGATTCATGTTGGCCCTTACTACACTGTTGCGGACAGTGTAAGACTGGTCAAAGGTTCGAGGCCCTATAGGCCCGAGTGTAACAGATCTAGCCACTTGGCAGTCAATAGCTACACAGTTGGCAACGAAGGTGGGATTTACCCACTTGGCCCTTTACTTAGTGTACCCCACTTTACAGAGGAGTCTGAGGCCCAGAAGGAGGTCAGTATACCCAAGGTTAAGTAGTTTACTTTGGTGGCAGAGTCCTTGTCTCTGAAATCAGACTTCGAAGCTGCTATCTACGGGTCGGAGGTCTGTTTTCGGTCCCCCCCTGCCCCCATGCCTACTCGTTTTTTCAGCTTCCCTAAAATTTGCCTTCTGTCCTTTGCCCTCTTTCTTCTAGGTCAGAAGGATCATCCCCCAACTGGCTGCAAGCCCTGAAGCTGAAGAAGAAGAAGGTCTGAGAAGGCAGTGAGGTGATGTCAGGGTTCTGGGCTCAGGTCCTGCCTGGGGCAAGGGGAGTGGGGCCCAGGGGTAGATAGGGCTGGCCCTGGATGAATCAGAGGCTGTGAGCAGTTTGGCCTTTGGTGTTGCCGATGAGTGAAGGGACCATGTTTGGAGTCTGATGTTGACTAAGCCTGGGGGCACAGTGTGCTCTGTCATAGCCGGTGTGGGAGGCTAGTAAGAGACTTGAACCCTGAGGCACAATTGAGCTTCTTGGGGCTGGTCCCAGGGCAGGGTGCTGGTTGGCCTGGCCTGACAGAGAGCTCTGGGGATGGCCTGAGGGTGGTCCTGAGGCCCCTCTGGATCTTCCTTCATGCCTGGGGGAGGTTTGGGGAGCCCCGCGGCCCCTCCCCTGAGCCCTGCTCCTTCCTCTCTTACAGCTCCTCCATCCGGCAGTCTCAGGCAGTGCTGTTCCTGTGAGGTCCCCGGGCGAGCCCACCATGGCCAGGCTGTAGCCTCTGCCTCTCCCACCTCTGGGGAGCATCTGGGGAGGCACATTTATGCACTTTGAACCCCCCTGCCCCCCCATCCGCCAGCCCACCGGCCCGCCCCGGGTTCAGTCATTAGTGGTTGAAGGTTTCGATCCGGCCCTCGCCTCCTGCTCAGCTTCCTCCTCCAGCCTCCCTTGGGTTTTCTTTTGATACCGATTTATAGCATTTTTTATAAAAGCCTTTGATTTTTTGTAATGGGTGGAGCTTTCCCCAGCCCCGCCCCTGCTCCCCCACCCCATCAGGTGCCCCACAGAGACCAATGACATTTTGCCACTTGAAACAATAAAGTTTTTTGGGAATTGGTGCCCTGCTTAGGCTTTGGTGTGTGCGCCTGCACCCTGCTTGCTCTCACCCAAAGCAGAGGGTAGGAAGTCCTCGTTCTAACAGCTCCGCTGCACTCTGTGTATTGGCTACAGTGGGCATGTTGCCGGCTGAGTCCACCTCCAGAGGGATAGTGTTTTAGTGAGCTACAAAAGGACAGCCAGACCATGGGAATCCAGCTCCATGATCCTGAGACCAGAAGTGGACGGTGCCTGGTTATCACTGCCAACCATGCAGAAAGGGGTTTATAATGGGGGCTGCTGGATAGAGTGGGAGAGAAAGTGGACAGAGGACTCACTAAAAATTCCAAGGCTTACTGGTCTGATGAGACAGGTGGGACATCTGAAACTGCGGTCCTTAGATAGCCTTCAGGTCTGGAACTGAAGCCACCCCATGGGGAAAGGAAAATAAAACTACCCCAGATCTCAGCAGCTCCTCATCAGCGTGTGTTCCTCGTCACTCGCTCCGTACTTCGCAGTCACTCAGAACACAGGTTCCTGCCCTGTCGTGGCTCAGCCATCTTCAGGAGCCTTGAGCCCACCACCACATCCTAGAGGGAGGGGAGACCCACATCTCATTGACCAGGATTCAACTCATGGCCTTGCTAACTGCAGGGGAGACTGGGAAATGGAGTTTTACTTTGTGGCCAAAGAGGCCCAGACACAGGTGAAAATTTATCCTCGACAGGGTGTTGGTTTCTGTGATTCCTAAGTGTCCTTTTTTTTTTAGCTCAGACATTCTGGAATGTTTGGTAGATTCTTGACTTCCCTCAAAACCCTGGGAAGTGGGCTCTGACCTTTTCTGGTCAAGCCCCTGGCCACTGTGCCTCAGCCCAGTTTTCTTTCTGGTTCCCACAGACCTTGCATCGTGTCTTCCTGAGTTGGTGAAGGGAGAGAATACAGTGACCTTACCTTGATGGAGCCCCAATTGTAGGTCAGAGCTACAGCTGAATTGAGAAATCATCCATCCGGTGCCCCTTAACGTTTATTAAATGATTATTTGGGGGGAGGGGCACGGTGGGAGTGAGTGGGTCACAGATTTAATTTGAGAATTTTATCAAAGGTACCGACTCTCCTCCAGTAATGCACAGAGAAACCACACCCAGGTGCCTCTTGGCCTCTAGCGGTGGATCTTAACCCCTCACTGTGTACCGCAGCCCCCTAGGTCTGCATTGAAAATAGGCTCCCTTGGGCTCACTCCCAAAGAATCCAGTTCCGTAGGGGTGGGCAGGGTATGCTGGAAATCTGCATTTCGAGAAACCCCTGAAATGGAGGAAAGACAATGGGCTTCTAGTGGGTACCACACTGCACCCCTGGTTGAGTGGGGACCAGATTACCCCTGTGCCAGCCCTTCCAGGGCCTACAAAGCCCAGCTGGCATGAGCTTTGTCCCCTTCTCTTCTGCCCCCTCCTCTCTGTAGCACTGGCAGGAGCCCAAGCCAAACACTTAAGACTCATTAGTGGAACAAATGGACCCTGGGTCAGTCCCAGCATCCAGGTTGTGTGTTGGCAGAAGAGCAGACAAGCGTCCGCTGCTGGGGAAGTCAGCAAATCTGGCTTGTGGGTGGGGGTGTCCACAGTGCCCCTCTTTCTGGAGAGGCCTTTGTTGGAGTTGGGGAGTGGTGGGGAGGGCCAAACACACCATCTTTGTCTGGCAATGCGCTGAGTGGGTGACGCTGGGGAGAGCAACTTCAATCTCTAGTGGCTGCTTCTCGGCATGAGATGGGGCTCTTGGGCATGGCCTGGGGGGTATGGCCTGGGGGACGAGCCTCAGACTTCTGGACCTGGATTTCAATTTTATTTTTTTGGTATCGTTCCTTTTTAAAAAAACTTAATTGTGATTTGAGTGAAAGCTTACAGAGCAAATTGACTTTCCATTCACCAATTCCTACACATTTTACTTCATGATATTGATTACAACCCCACGATGCAACAGCACCCTTCTCACTTGGACCTCTCTTTCCCAGTGTCCATTCATCCTTTCCTATCCTTGCTTTCTGGAACTTTCTGCCTGGGCAAAAGCTGCTTTTTTGATTTCATATGGCTGGTTGTACCCCTATAATTTTATTATTCACCATATGTTGTTAAGTGCTGTTGAGTTGGTACCGACTCATAGCAACCCTGTGTAGGGTTTCTAAGGAATGGCTGGTGAATTTGAACCACC